ATCGAAAAAGAAGAATGAATTTGTGGGGAGACTACAGCACAGGAAAGATCCGTTCTGCAAGCTACTGCGCACAACAATAAAGAAAGGCTAGTTGGCATATCTAGATGCTAGCGAAAGAAGCCCGAATTCGTACTACTTTAAACGAGCTTGCCGAAAAGATGCCACGTTGCGCTACGGGAAGAAGTTTATGATTCTTAAGGCTAACTAAGCCCTATGCTCTGGCGAAAAGATAGAACATCAATCCAATCCTTAGTTAAAAAAAAATGCATTGCCTTAACATCGAGACTGGCACGGGGGGCAGAGACCTCACCGCCCGCTCCTTCCCGTCGAATAGAAAGTCAATTAGATATTCGATTCGAAAATGGGAACTACAGCAAGACTACCCTCCACTTAATGTTGGGGCAAAGAGTTAGATCCTTTTATCAAGCGATTCGCCCACTACGACTAGTATAGAATAAGATCTATTAATACACTGGGCTACCTATATAACAACAACAAGCAAGTTGCCTTTTCACCTGAGTCTCCTACTAAACTTGACTTTCATTTAATGTTCTCCCTGTCTCTAAGCATCCAGGGCACAGTTAACTCGGTAGCCTAAGTTGAGCTAGCCCACCTTTGCCTTCCCGAAAGCCTCTCTGTGAGCTAGAAAGAGATTTTCCACTATTTAGGTCCATTATCCCTGGTCTGAGGACGAGAGGATTCCTTTCCACCGACACCTGATGCAAGGGGATGGAAGCAAGGTTTTCTATTTTCATTACCGGACTTCCTGCTAGCACGCCCCACTCCTAACTGCATAATAAAGAAAAAAGAAAGAAAGCACCTAGGCTAAGAAAGGGGGGGTTCCCGCTTGTCCGCTAGCCAGCTTAAACAACCGAAAGGATTGGCTCGGGGCTAAGTGAGATAGGACTCCCACACGGTTTATGGGTGACTCAACAGTCTTATTTGCGGAGAAGGGGTAATAGGCGCACGCAATCAGGCAAGCATTGTTCCTTGGTAGTATGCCCCGGGGGGCGAGTCTTCATCGGATATAGTGCAAGCAATAAGGGTCCAACGATCTTTTATCTATTTCAGCTTTGCTGCCTATTAAGAGAATAGGTCCCGGCCGACCGCCCTTTTTGCTGACCGATGACTCGCTTGTTCAGTACAAAAACTATTATAGGAAGATGCCGTCTCCTCGGGACTACCAGTAGTTTCGGTTGTTGAATCTCGTGCAAGTTAGGTTGTGGTTGTATTGGCTGCAAGCGGAACGAGGGCGCTTTAGGTGTGTGTTGACCATGCGCTCTCGCGTCATGTAATGTCGTATGTATTCTAGAGGTGGTGTGGTCATTGACCTCAATGCTAATGGTTATCCCCAAGGTTCAACGAATGAATGAAGCTATGATCCGGATAGAGATGATGGTCTTCCTCTGATGTCTGAAAGCCGGCCATAATCAAATAGATAGGCGAAGTCAATTACATCGAACCTATTGATAGATAGCAGGTTGCTTCCAAGCCCAAACCATTTGAAACTGAATTGCTACTTTTTTTCTTGTTATTGATCTCCCCTGTCAAATTTATAGGGTGGAAGAGAGAAGGAAAAAGAGCAAAGGATTTACAAGTCTAATAGGAGAAGAATGGCTGACCCTATGGAATTAGCTGCCTTCGATACTAGAAAAATAACCCAAGCGCCCCCGGGGCGGACCCCCACCGAAAGGCGCTAGACGGACTAACGGCAAGCGAGATAAAGAAAGCAGCTGGCCCTATGTGTAAAACCTTGCCGCGGGAGATATCCAATGATCATAAATCAAATGGGCAAGACAAGAAAGAAACTCCCCCTTTGACACCAAGGGATAAGAGCTGATTGCTGGCGATGACTTGGTGAAGGGAATCTATGAGAGAAGGTTCTCGAACAGGGTTCCGACCGAATAGAGCGCGGAGCCAACGAGTTCAGTCGAACAAGGTAACGAGTCGCCAGGGCAGGATCAAGCTTGAAAGGAATGGACGGGCGTAGGCAACATAGTGAACGCTGCAACTAGATATGAGATCGATAAAAGACAGATGTCGAGATGTTAGACTTCTGCGTTGCGAAGAGAGATCGAAGACGAAGATTTTTTGACCGGGATGGAAAAAAAAACAGATAAAGGTTCGATGTAATTGAGGAAGCGAAGCGAAGTGAAGTCATAAAAACCTCCCACGGATTTTCCCCCGTATGTTGGGTCTCCCTCTGGACTCTGTATGTAGGGCTGAGCCAGACGACCCACCCACCTTCTTTCTACGGGTCTCCTCGTTCAACATCATGTCTCTTATGTTGTCGAACTTCATCTTCTCCTTGCCATAAGAAGTGCTCACCGACGTAACAACCACGTCCCAACTGTCCGGCAATGATGAGAGCAAGATTAGGGCTTTTACCTCATCATCGAACGAAATATCCACCGATGCCAGCTGCGTCGTGAGTTGGTTGAAATCGTTGAGATGATCGGCCACCGACTTCTGCTCCTCCATTTGCAATTTGAACAGCTTTTTCATCAGCATCACCTTGTTTATTGCTGATGGTTTCTCATACATGTTGGCGAGTGTCTGCAAGACCTCCTTCGTGCTTTTTGCTCCTTTCACATGGTAGCGACGTTTCGAGAGAGCGAAAGAATTATAGCGCTCATCGCCTTCCGATCGAGCACCTTCCATTCATCATCGCTCATCTTCTCGGGCTTCTCCCCAAGAGGCACGTAGAGGTCCTTCCCGTACAGGTAAGCCTCCATCTGCATTCGCCAGAATCCAAAGTCGGAACCATTGAACCGTTCGACTGGAATCTTTCCCTCCATCTTCTCTTTCAGATCCTGGGTCACCAAATTCGTGTGTCTTTTATCGCTTTCACATTGTTGTGTGTTGTTATTCCATCTTGTCCGATCCTATTTCCCAACAAATCTCAAATAGACCAAGATCCAATTTCGGGTCATTTCTTGGTGAACATGATCTGCCCTCTTCGATCCCAGAATTTATGTGCCAGAATAAAGATAGATTTTGTAGGAAAGTGGGGAATATCTTGAATTTTGGGGTTACTAGAGACCTTGGAAAGTATCTGGGTGTCCCTTTGATTCATGGGAGGGTCAGGTCACTAAGAATACATACAGAGATGTGGTCGAGAAAGTTAATGGGAGGCTCACAGGTTGGAAGACTAAAACATTGAATTTGGCGGGACGTGCCACCTTGATTAGCTCTGTGACTTCGGGTCTACCGTCTTATCATATGTTGTCTACTTTGCTGCCCAAATTGACTATTTCGAGTATTTATAAACTGAATAGACGGTTCCTTTGGGGGGAAAGAGATGAGAAAGGTGTCGTCCAATGGCCAGGTCGGCGGAAGGACTTCTCTCCACGGGCGCCCCCTTCCTGGGATGTATGCTCCAGAAGCAAGATCAGCGTCCCCGCTACTCGTCAGTATGAACTCAAAAGGAAGTCTAGTTATTGCAGGAAGGTAAGCTCTTTATCGTGCGAAAAGACTAAATTCAATAAAGGCTTGGATATAAATACCCTTCGGGCCCTCCCGTACTTTAGTGGAGGAGAAATAATTCAAGGTATTCGAGGTCGGGCGATGGAGAATCTCGTATAAGAAGACGCCAATTCAGAAGTGTGCTCAGCTATACTCAGGTGTAGAAGGAAAGTCAGCGCTCCGCTCCCGCTAGTTAGAAAGAAAGCCTATGAATAGATTCATAGTAAGGCTTTACCTTACTCACGAGATGCGCAAATGATCCCTGCCCGACCAGGCTAGGCTGTCCTACGTGCCCTTCTGAATCGATGAAGAAAGCTCCGGCTTATGACTTAGCTCAACTAAGTATCGAAAGGGACGGATTCGCAGCTCGTTAGCAAGTTCGCCCAGCGTATCAGCTACATTCTTACTGCCATCTTCCCGGTAGTTTGAAATGATTCGGTAGGAATACCAGTCAAGGGGGGTCCCATAGCAAGGATTTAGAAGTTCAGCCGATGGGTCGTGGAAGTTTCAGTTGTACCTCGTACGGTAAGTCACTAGAACGAGATAAGCAACCAGCTTCAGTAGTTAGAGAGAATTCAATCATTTAAATAATGAATAATACATCGCGGACGGACACTAAGATGGAATAAACCCGTGATTAAAGAAAGAGCTCGGTTCCATTCCTTGAGGAGTATCCTCAAGTAAGAAGAATAGAGCCTGTCTTTCGTCTTACTTACCAAACCAAAAGTTTCAATTTCCCCGGCTGGAGGCTTCACGACCGTCTATAAGAAAAGATCGGCGTAGTCGAGACCACGTACCCACCAAATCTTGACTGAACCTCATGTGCCAAAGTCAAACGGTTGTTCTTCCTTCCGGGTTCAGTTTGCTTGTTTCATACAGGTTTTCAGATACTCGACCAAACAAACTTTTCGAAGCGAAGTTCAGTCAGAAGTAGTATGGGAGAAAGGGAGAGGGAAGAAGTAGCTCGACCAAAGGTCAATGTAATCTTTAGAAGTTCAGTCATAGACAAAAGCGGTTATACAATATCTGCTGCTGCTAAGCCAAGGAGAGGGTTGGATGAGTAACCCCACAATTGTATGGTGGAGATGCCACATGATTCTCTAATATGGTCGGTGGTCTAACGGTGACTCGGAGCATGTGGCCTATTAGACTGGTCTATAGGTGGAGATGGATTGGCCCTATGAGTGGTATGGCAATCTATATCTCCGGCTACGGGGGAGTGACTTCTGTCCAATCGGTGTAGCATCGGGCTCAGAGACTATGCGCTCGCAAAAGACTGAATTGGCCCCTGCCTGGTATCTTGTAAACGTGCACCGTGGGACAAGTCTAAACCTATTCCGCAATCCTAAAGAAAAAAAATAACTTGGCGTAGTGTACGAACGAAGCGAAGCGCAGTTCAGTCAGAAGTAGTGCAAAGTGAAGTCATAAATATAGCTACCATAGGTCGGATCATATAACATTTTAAGGGAGCTTTAAACAAGGAAATAATAACTACAAATCATAAAAGGAAAACAAAGAATGGCTAAGCTAGGGATTCAGATGGAAGCCTACTCCCTAGTCAACGAACAACAACGATCGGGCGAAAACTGCCTACAGCAGTCTCTTCCCACACATGCCTCTGATGAAACGATTTGGCCAAGGACATTTCCTATGCTTTTTATTTTTCTTCCTTTTCTTTATTTGCTTTTGTGACGACGGCGGAAAATTCAAACAAAGCTGGAAGAGAGGAAAGCCGTGAGCACTTTTGACTAATGTTGATGAGTGGGCCTACCTATCTGATGTTGCATGCTCGGATTGTTCAGCCGGACCTTTCTTTCGTCTCCTTCTGCGGAAAAGAATTGAATTGATCCATCCGTACGTACCGGATCAATATACCGCTACCGTGCTAACGCTAACCCCACTTCCCTGGCTAGCTTGCTTTCGCTAGCTTCTGAGGCTGGCTTTTGATATGTGCAAATCGACCTTCTGATGAAAGCATTGAAGAGGAACTAACTGGAAAGCGGGTGGCCTTCTTATCGAAGAAGTGGTTAACGACCCCCTTTCTCGGGCAGTTCGTACTTCGAAAAAAAGAAAATCCTTTTCTTCTGGATTCAATCCAGTCCCTTAGGTTATTCGATTGGAGTTTATCGATCTGAATGATGCTTGCTTAAGCTTAAAAGAAGAAAGGGCTTTCCTTCCATACTATGGAAGATTCAGTCTAGAATACCTAGCGAACTAGAGAATAGTAAGCCCCTAGAATAGTCAGTTTAGGGAAGAGCTTTGTAGAATAAGTTTAAAGAAGGGCGAATAAGCTTAGCTTGAGGGTGAAAGGCTGAAATCCCCGTTATAAATATATTGGGAAGAATATTAAGCAGAAAAGATTCACCCCAGAAAATAGCCTAGAGAATAAGTCCCGAGTAAAAAAGGTGGGTGCCACTTGCCTTTCTTACTGGATTTCCTGCTGCAATTGAATCAGAAGTGGGACTATTTCTCGAAGAAGATGGAGGACGTCGAGCTGGTGGCATAGATTTTGTATGAATCTTTTAGGACGAGGTCAAATGGCACGAGCGAGCTTATTAAAGCACGAACCCTAGAGGAAGTAAGAGGGGGTCGGATCCCCAGAAGAGGAGGGTGGGACAAATCTGGTCTTTGTCTTTGCAAGGGAATAAAAGAAAGAAGCAGTCTTCTATGGAATTGGATTGATGCCCTAAGCCTAAGATAAGGCACAGCCAAAGCAGGGACTTAGAGACTAGCATCCGATTGTGGGCATCTTTCGATGAGTAGGTCCGGAAAGAGACTTAAGGCATACCTATGTGGTTAACATTTCCCTGAGGTGCCGGCGCCTTCGAGCTAATCCGACTTCACTCTTTCTTTCTCGCAGCTATTGAAATGGCTGCTATCTTCCTAAATTCTATGACTTCACTTCGCTTCTAAAGTTGGGTCGGCTGTGCTACCTGGAAGTTCGCTGGTCAGCTTTCCTCCTGTTCGATGTGTGGATAAGTAACCTCGTCATCCTCCTGAACAGGCTCGATATAATTACTGTTGTAAAGCGATTAGTAAGGCGAAGGGTACGAAGGAGATGAGACGTAAGGCGAAGTGGGATCAATTCACTCATATTGCATTTATCCATTCATAACCATCGCGCTTGACTAATAAGATAGAGTGGACCTGGCCTGATGCCCAAAGACAGAGAGAGTTGCTGTCTATGCAAGTGTTGATGGTGACTCTAATATTTCGAACACCTAAAGATCTGAAGAATGCAAAGACTTCTTTCCCCTTTCTTTATGACTGAACTTCGCTTCGAAAAGTTTGTATCTAAGAACCTGGCCCTTTCTAATATTTTTAAGCGTCTTTCTTCGTAATCAAGTTCTGGATATTCTACATATGAGAATGAAGAAGAGCTGCGGGATTCGAAATGCGAAGTCGAGTTGGACGCAATGCGTCATGGAAAGGTATCCAGAAAGCACAGTAAGCTTCCTTAACTACATCCGAGCAGGTGCTTGAGCAACCCTTTTTCCAAATAGAATCTCCGGCTTACAGAAGGCACGAAGTGATTACCATCCCGTTAACCAGAACTGGGTATGTGCTTCCTCCTTCTAACTAATAATCCTCAGGCGTTGACTGTGGCGAGGCTACGCCTCTCTCAAGAGAATCCGTTTCATGATCGCCCACTCGACGAAAGAGTTTGAAAGGACCACTAATGAAAGTGGTGACAGCTAGTTCACCAGATCCACATTGCTTTTCCACAGGAGTCTTTATACAAAGGGGACGAAGTAGGAAAGATGCAATTGACTCTTTTTTACTGGAACGAAGCGAAGCGAAGTGAAGTCATAAAACCCTTACCTATTTGTCATTTGCATCGAATATCTTTCCAGGCTCATCAAGTGTAGCACGACCGAAGGCTCAAACTTGAACTTCCACCCAAAGTGCGGCCAGCTCAGAGTCACCCATCTTGCCTTCGCCGACGATCTTATGTTACTTTCACGAGGCTCGATGTAATTGAGTTCAAATCCTCATGAATTGCTTGAAAGACTTTGGGGCTAGAAATGAACATTCAGAAATCCAACATATACTTGGCTGGTGTGGACAGCTCGAATCAGGCTTGCATCCTTCAAGACACGCACCTTCAGAGCGGGTCCATGCTCTTTCTCAATTACATCGACCCTCACAGCGGAACGTGTCACGGCAGGCCAATTTGATGCATTGGTCAATCAGATCGCGACGTATATTAATGGGTGGAATGCCTCCACTCTTTCGTATGCGGGACGTGTGGAACTTATCAGATCCGTTATCCAAGGAGTCGAGTGCTTTTGGACTCAATTACATCGACCCTACCCGCAACTGTTCGAACCAGAATCACCCAACTTTGTAGGCGGTTTCTCTGGGGCTCGCGGACGCAACAAGGAGGGACGTCAAGGGGCTATTCTTTCTTAAGACCACGCGGCACTATGGTGCCGTGGACGGGAGTGGTCTGGGGGCCTTGCAACACCCCTAAGCACTCATTCATCTTGTGGCTTGGGGTGCTTAGCCGTCTCCGCACCAAAGACCGACTGGAGTTTTTAGACGAGTCAATTGAATCGAACCTTATACGGCGTGGCAGCAGAATCGGCGCTCTTCTTCACCTGCCCCTTTAGTTCCCAAATTTGGACCGTGATTCGCGAATGGGCGGGACTACACCATCGGCTATTGACACTTAAAGGCGCCCTGAAATGGTTAAAGAAGGAGGCAAAAGGGGCGGGCTGGCAAACCAAAACGAAGAAGGCTGCACTCGCGGCAACCGTGTACTGAATTTGGAATGCTCGGAACAGGAAGATCTTTGAAAATGAATCTCAGCCCCCGAGCCTTGTCATTCGAAAGATTCAGACCCACGTGTATCGAACAATATTCCCCGCATACCCGAACGCCGACATGGAGAAGAAGGAGAGCAAAGTGAGTCTCTAAAAACTTTTCGAAGCGAAGTGAAGAAAAAGTCACGTCGATTTTTATCACACATCTCTGTTATTGTACTTTCAGGGTTTATGCCAAATCTTCCGTATAGGGAATTTCAAAGAAGCAACTATACATAACCAATAGCATTATTACCCTCCTTCTTAGCATTGGATCTGCATTCAAAGAGTGAGTTAACGTAGTCCTTGAATGGGCTTTCCATCTTCTGGAAGAGGTACCCACAAATTGGTAATACCTTGTAGCCCAGGTCTCTTGCATACTTGAGTTCCTCGCTATAGTAGACATCAACAAATTCGCCGGTTGGAAAGAGAAGAGCTCCATCTTTATCTCGACTTCCTCTATGACTTCACCTCGCTTCGTTTGTTGGGTCTTAGAAGTTGAGGAAGCGAAGCGAAGTGATACCAGAATCCGCAGCCTTTGATAGCTTCAATAGTGAAAAGCCTTTCCATGACCATTGATTTCCTGATAGAAAAGCTCAATTGTCTCTGTCTTCTTTCCTTCTTTCGTATCGAGTCAAGGAATGAGATGCCCGCCATGCGACCTCAATTACACCTTTCCGAAGGTATTTCTACATGTGATTCACTGCCGAAAGCGGATTCTTGTACGCTCAAAAGATTGAGACTACTACTGCGGAAGGGAGGGGCTTCTGTTATCTGCTGTC